ACCCCCCAATTCCATTCCTTTTATGTTCCTGTCTTTCCATTAAGAAATTTTAATGGATTTTTTTTTTTTGACAGGCAGAGTGGACAGTGAGAGAGAGAGATAGAGAGAAAGGTCTTCCTTTGCCGTTGGTTCACCCTCCAATGGCCGCTGCGGCCGGCGCGCCGCGCTGATCCGATGGCAGAAGCCAGGAGCCAGGTGCTTTTCCTGGTCTCCCATGGGGTGCAGGGCCCAAGGTCTTGGGCCATCCTCCACTGCACTCCCTGGCCACAGCAGAGAGCTGGCCTGGAAGAGGGGCAACCGGGACAGAATCCGGCGCCCCGACCGGGACTAGAACCTGGTGTGCCGGCGCCGCAAGGCAGAGGATTAGCCTAGTGAGCCCCGGCGCCGGCCTAATGGATTTTATTTACTTGAAAGGCAGATGGATGAAGGGAGGAAAGAGAGAGAGAGAGAAACAAATTACTATTTTTACCTTTTCACTCCTTACATGCCCACAAAGCTCAGAAGCCAGGAATGCTGTTCTGATCTCCCACATGGGTCCCACCCCTCCTGTCTTCTCCTTACCACTCTAATGCCTTTCATCAAAGCGGGTGGATTTTTGAGAGATAGCAACAAGACGGATAAAACATAAAAGGCAAATGCATTCATTTCCATTATTCAGTGGGGAGTGGTGTGTAGATATGCTTTGATTAAGAGCTTGAGACCACTGGGTGATACGTAGATTTCAACTACACTCACTGTGTCAGCACTCTAAATCTAACTGGGCTGGACTACAGCAATGTGGGATCCTGGACTGGATACTGGGACAGAAAAAGACTATTAGGGCTGGCGCCACGGCTCACTAGGCTAATCCTCCACCTTGCGGCGCCGGCACACCGGGTTCTAGTCCCGGTCGGGGCGCCGGATTCTGTCCCGGTTGCCCCTCTTCCAGGCCAGCTCTCTGCTGTGGCCCGGGAGTGCAGTGGAGGATGGCCCAAGTGCTTGGGCCCTGCACCCCATGGGAGACCAGGATAAGTACCTGGCTCCTGCCATCGGATCAGCGTGGTGCGCCGGCCGCAGCACACCGGCCGCGGCGGCCATTGGAAGGTGAACCAACGGCAAAAAGGAAGACCTTTCTCTCTGTCTCTCTCTCTCTCACTGTCCACTCTGCCTGTCAGTACAGAAAAATAGAAAAAAAAAAAAAAAAGGCTATTAGAACATTGGTGAAATTCAAATAGAGCACAAATGCTAGTGTCTTAGCTTTGACAAATGTCCCATGGTTATATGACATTTTAACCTGTGGGGAAACTAAAAGGCACACGGTAATGGAATATAATTGCAAGTGTTCTGTGAATCTAAAATTATTCCAAAAGATAAAGTTTATTTTTAAAAAAGTGGGCCAGAGTGCAAATTTGAGTTTGGCTAGCAGTCTCTTGCATGAACATTCTCACTTCCAGTTATATCTCAACAAATTGTAGAATAAGGTGGAAAATGAGAACTGCAGGGAAATCTATAAACTTTCCTATAGGAAATTCATGAAAAGGCAGTGCAAAAGCAGAAAAGTTAAACAAACATAAAATGGACCTGTATGCAGCCAGTATGGAAAAGGCATCGAGTTAAAATGAACAGCCAGACTGGGGCTTCAGGAGGTGGTGGGGGGCCGCGAGCACTGGGCTCAAAATCAAGACCCTGGCTCCTGGTTTTAGCTTCAAGGACCTGAGCACATCACACTACTTAATTTCTCCACCTTTAAAATGGCCTCATTTAAGAACTGGCACTGTGGCACAGCAAGTTAAACCACCACCTGCAGCACCGGCATCCCATATGGGCACCAGTTCAAGACCTGGCTGCACCACTTTCCATCCAGCACCCTGCTAGTGGCCTGGGAAAAGCCATGGAAGATGGTCCAAGTACTTGGGCCCCCGCCACCCTCGTGGGAGGCCTGGATGATCTTGGCTTCTGCCTAGCTCAGACCTGGTCATTACATCCATTTGGGCAGTGAACCAATGCCAATGGATGGAAGATCTCTCTTTGTCTCTCCTTCTTTCTCTCTATAATTCCACCATTCAAGTAAATAAGTAATCTTAAAAAAATAAAATGGTTTCATTTTGGACTCAGAAATACTTGTACATAACTCTTTATAGAAACCAAATTTTCCTGTTTTTCAAAATTTATCAGTTTTGCTTAAGAACCAGGGTCTGCTTATGATCAAAAACCTCCATCCTTGGGGCCAGCACTGTTGCATAGCGGGTAAAGCCTCCACCTACGGCGCCAACATCCCATATGGGCACTGGTTCTAGTGCCAGCTGCGCCTATTCTGATTCAGCTCTCTGCTGATGGCTTGGGAAATCAGTGGAAGATGGCCCAAGTCATGGGGCCCCTGCACCTGCATGGCTCCTGGCTTTGGATCAGCCCAGCTCTGGCCACCATGGCCATTTGAAGAGTGAAGCAGCCGATTCAAGACCTTTCTGTCTTTCCTTCTCTGTGTCTGCAACTCTGTCGAAATAAATAAATAAATAAACCTTTAAAAATTTTTTTAAATCCCTCAAGCTAGTGGGTCTGATCCTGCATGAGCATTTTCACTTTGCACTTGGCAAGTTTTTGCTTCCTCTTTGAAGAATGTTCATGCCAAGGCCAAAACCATTTGACTTCTAAATATAGTGCAGCAGATGTGAATGAGGATTGTATTATTTTCTCTGTTATACAAAGGGTCTTTCTTTTACCAGAAAGTCAGACATCAGTATAGTTCTGGCTAGGCTCAGCCATCTCAATCAAGGTGCCTGGAACTGGCTCTATTCCTTTTTCAAGCACTGAAGCTTCCATTAGCCTGTACCAGATTTTCTGAACTTGATCCATGAAGGAATGTCCACACTTACACAACTCCTTAATAACTGAACCTGATATTTCACGTGTATGCATGTTTTTCTATAGTCATTTCATTGATTTTCAAAGGGTCCACAAGTCCCAACAAAACCGCTGCTTTTAGATATATACTTTGCTATAGCTAAGTTACTTGCTGTATTTAGGTATAGGGATGTCATTACCTTCAAGCAAATTCCCAGATAGTGGTTGGCTGGCTGTCTGGCTGGTTTTTTTTTTTTTTTTTTTACTGCACAGCACCCAGCACCTATCTGGGGTGCATCCCAGTGCCCACTTGCTTGTAATGAGTGCTTTCTCATAGGCATGGATTTGAGCGTTCCTTTCCTGAGGACCCGTAGATTGTCACTTGAGGCATATTTGTCCCTCAAATCTTCTCAATTTAAACAATCTCTTAGGAAACTAAGGTACCTCTGACCTGTCTTGCCCTCCAAGTCCTTTGAAAACTGGCTGCTCATTTCTTTGTCATTCAGGATGTGACCAGACTGTGGACGTGTAAACTTGTTGGAAGCAGAGCAGGTTTATTGAACACAAGATCTTCTGATGGCAGAGTGTGAAGGGCCCAGGGCAATTTAAATGTCTGATCCTGGGGTGGTCTGAACATAAGCAGCACACTTTGATGTTTGCATTTCTCCAATAGAAGCTAATTCGGGAAATTTCTCGGGCTGTTTGCCAGGACAAAGGTGGTCTACAGTTGAAGTCTAGAACACACATTTAACTTGGTTTTATATGAATGGTCCCCATGACAAGACTAAAAGTGATTCCCCATTTGAACTCTTTTGAATAATCTTTCCTCTTCATTTCTAACATTACTGGGATCTTAAATGTTGGATACTATTTTGGTTTCTCCAAAAATTTAACTTCCCTTTGAAAATGAAACAATCATAAATTCGATGTTACCTTATAAAAATGTTTTTTTTTTTTTTAAATAAAATGTTAACTAGACTTAAATAGGAGACACTATAGGGGTACCCAGACTCACTTCCCCCTTTTTAGTGGTAATCATGTGGTCAAATATAATACTAAAAGACTAAATGCTTGTGGCTCTTTTATATATATTTAAAACACACAGTAAGAACATAAGAACATCTCAAATCATTTAGAAGATAAAAGGGGTATCAACCAAAATCTTTGGAAATTTCATAAAATTTAAATATCTGCAAACAATCCAAACAAAAAGAAAAAAAAAAAAACATTTGGCTATGGAGGGCACTTCACATGTGAACCAAGTAACATTTTCCTTCTGGCAAACTAATCACTAAACCCCATGAGAAAGAATTACAAGAGCAATATCGGAGATATCCCAAAACACCATGTACTGGCTGAGAACATTCCAGTGTGAAGTGCTCATGTCGCGGGCTTTCTTTACATTGCATACGTTACATGTCTACAGTGCAATGTTGAAACAGCCTCCAAGTTCTTCAAAGTAGATTGATGTCCATTCTACAAAAATATTAACTTACAGTACATAACACTGAATAATTTTAATCTGTACATTTTTTTCCTTCCATAATAGGTGACACAGGTCAGTCTGTACAAGTTAGGGGGAAAAAAACCCTCTCATCTGGTTGTTTACATCTGGAGCAACAGTCAACAGAATCAACCAGAAAGTGGTGGTGGGAGGATGTGGTTTGAGAAATGATAAATACAGTGTAATATTAATTGGGGTTAACAATATTCAGCTTTTAACAAAATGATACAAAATAAATCATCTTAGATTTTGACTGCAAAGATCTAGCTGAGAGTGTTCTGCCAAACAGTCGACCAATCGATCCAAAAGGTTAAGGCTGACTTGATTTAGCAACCTGCAGCACAACCCAGAACACTGGCGCAGTTCAGAGCTCTTCAAATGCATAGCTTCAGTGCTACATGCACATTAATTATATTCCTTCAATTAGTTAATCCTCTAGACAGTTTCCTTTTTGTTTTGCATGCATCCCGTTCCATTTTCATTAAGGGCATCTCTTCCTTGATCAATCATGTGGTTTGCTTTTCAATTTGTTTTTGTGATTTTTTTTGTATGTTTTGTTTGTTAAGCTGTCAATACCTCCAACACTTGGAAAATGAAAGAAAGATGTGGTTTTACTTACAGAAGAGAATCATATCTATATGGACAATGCAAAATGAAATGAAACAAGTATCAGAAACAGTTTATAAAAATGGCACATTTATTGCTACAGAACGGTCATGTACATGACTCCATCGAGTAACTACAGATGGGAAACAGGTAATGGCCTAGACCAAGCTGGGTTGTTTTGTCTTGAAGGAACTCCAGCACACAACCTGTTTGGACACTTCTACAAATCAGATATACACCAAAAACATGAAAAAATCGAGGCACTCAGCCACACATTGAAAACAAGGTGTAACTGTTTATCTTTTTTTAAAATGTTTTCCCTTTTTTTCTTTTTTTAACAATTTTTTTTTAGTTTTTAATGCTGCAGCTATGTGTACAGTCGCAAAAAATTTCCCCGCTGCGACCTACAACTAAAACAAAAACAAAAACAAAAACAAAAAAAACAAACAAAAAAAAAACAAAAAAGCTACCATACAATTTAATCTTGGTAACACATGGTGAAATAACATCTTTTAAATAGTAAAATAAAGTAACAAACTTTTACTCATAATGATTCCAAAAATCTACAAAGAAGAAATATTCAGAATCTGACAATTTTTTTGTAATATTCATGGTATAAAAGGATTGCTCCTGCGAAAAATAAGCCAAATATATTTTTTATTTTTAAATTTAGTATTTTTTCCTACTAGGGTGTACTACAGTCTATTTTATAGCAAAAGAGCACTAGACAAACAAAGCTTTATAACAAAAAGCCAGGCACTGATACATGGTAAATCTCTGCTTTTTTTTTCTTATCTTCACTTAATTGCATCACAAGTAACAAGAATGAAAAAGGCCACAGTTCATATATTTTCACCATTACATATGTCTATAATACTTGAAATGAGTATGGCAAAACCAGCACTGCACAAAGATGAGTCCACTTCAAGTCCCATGAGAAAGAGCATGTCTCTAAAGAAAAACAAACAAAACCAAAGCAAAATAAAAAGAGAGGCCTAAAGGCCTTGGTGCCCCATTGTGTTGGAATTCCTCATATTCCATCTTGACTTTTTTTTTTTTGCTTCCAGTCAGCCAGCAGACTAAATTTTTGTGCTTGTTTATGCTGAAATTGTTTCATTCCTGACTCAAGTTCACTTTTGGACACAGACCACATTCTGTGTTGGATGCAAAGACGAAAATCTTCTTAATCCCAACTCTCGGATCAATCCCCTCCCCACTCCCCAACCCCTCATCAAAATAAAGATCACAAATAATAGTTAAAAAAATAAGATAGGAAAAAGCAAAAAACAAAAAGGAATCGGAAGACTGAATCAGAACCAGTGCACCACTGGGTGGACTGACAATTGTATAAACATTAGTGTTCCTTGCAGCTACACAGAAGACAAATGGTAGAAATTTCTAGATGAACAGATCCCTATATTCTGCATATTCATAAATTACTTGAATGTGGAGGTGGATCAACTGTTCCAAGTTGCTTTGAAAGTCCAAGTTTCTTACAGATACCCAGCCCAAGTATCATCATCATCATCATCATCATCATCAATATATATATATATATATAAATCTATATAGCATAATATGGACCCTTATGAAATGTTTGTATAGTACTTTAATCCTAACTGTCTTCTGCTAAATTTCATTTGAAAATCCAGTGCAGGATACCAATATCTTACCTGGGTCTGATAATTACAAAACAACGACAAGAAAAAACACACTAAAAGGCCACATTCCCTTTTTTCTTTTTTAATGGGGATACAACCCAATGAATATGGATGGGTGTTGATCACAGTTCCCATCGAGCAAAAGTAGTGAGCAGCTTTTCTGGTGGTGAGAAGCTTTTTTTTTTTTTTTTTTGCTCATTTCCAAAGGGAATTCAACAATAGAGGTATTACATTACTGAGTAATGAATACATCAAAGCTGGTGAACAATAGATTGCAGCTTTTACTGTTTGAGTGAGAACAAAATATAAAGCACCGATTTAAAAATAATCAAAGGACTACAATTTAATTTTTTGCTTTGTTTACAGATTTGAAAGACTTTAATTCAACTCTAGTAAGCACCTTTATGATAACATGTATCAAAAGTGCCATTCTCAAAATGTACATCAATGCAGGGAGTGTTTCCAGTTCCCTAGAGTAAACACCGTATTTTCTTCTGTACACTTATCTGAAAGTGATCAGAGTAGACCTGCTTCCTATAGAATATTGTTCCTAGGGATACCCGCCTTAGTAGACTATACAGAGTGAGTGCAGAATGTACCACTAAAGGAAATCGTTAACATACTGAAGGAACAAGTACACATGGTTTCCGTTACTCAAGAGGAGGGGAGGGTATGCATTTCTGTCTTCCGTGACCTTCTTTGAGCCCCTTTGTTCGTACATTTCACAGGAAAGCCCCCAAATCATTTTTCATGAAGTTTGATTTCTGCTATTCTCCTAAGGTTTTAATCCACCTCCACATTTTAGGAACTTATCCACAAATCAAAGCATATTTTAGTTTTATCGCTACTGAACATATTTACAGTTTTCAACACACACACAGCTAATCAAAATGTTTATGGGTTTGTAAAAGATGACCACATGGGTAACTATCTTATTTGTTCTTACATTTTCAGAAATGAACATAAAATTCAGATTCTTGTAGCTCACTATTTCATTTAAATGAGACTTTTTTTAAACCACAGTTTAAAAAAAAACAAAAACTGATACAATGTATTAAAACACATAATAACAAGAGTCTACATGTAAAAATATAACTTTTACATACACAATTTCAAAATAATGATACGTTTGCCATTTGTTGCATAAAATTTACAAATGTATTTCATTACTATATAACTGGCAAAACAGGAGAACAGATGGAACATTTAGACCATTTTGATGGATTTATGGCATTTACTCAGTGCTGATAGGTGGAAAAACTACTTGAACAGGGATTTTTTTTTCTTAATACATGCCAAGATTGTGTGGCTGTCAAAATAGAAACGAGTTAGAGACAAAAGGATGCTGACAAATACTTAACTAGGAGCACTATTTGTTTACTGCACTATACACCAAAGTCAATCATTATAAAGATTCACGATGGAAATTGGTTCAATTGTGCCCAGACGTCAAAGCTAGCTATCTGATGAGTTGCTGTGCCATAGCTTGATCTATGTTTCTATCAAATATGTTAAGTATAAACTTCATTCATACTGGCCAGAGAAATACTGCACTACCCCTCCTCAAAAAAAGTGCAACTTAATGCTTTAGGACTGATAAGGCTTGTTATAATGCTGCATGATGATTGGATATTGGCATTTTTCAGACGAAGGAGGAGGCAGTTAAGTCATCTACTTTTTAGTAAACCCATTTTGAAAAGAAAAACAAAAAAAAAAGAAAGCAACAAAATCAATCAGCTCTGTCACACTACTTGCAATTTTCTCATTTGACAGTTTTTGAACTTTGTGGTTTTTTTGTTTTTGTTTTTGTTTTTGTTTTTTTTCCAAAAATCTGACCATGTATTCAGAAACGCCTCACTGCACACTACTTCGGCTACACAGGTAGGTAACACTTGAATCGTTTGTTAAATCACAGCCACTTTGATTATGTTATGTTTCCGATGATATAAACATTGGAAGGCACAGTGGTAACATTGTAGCATTCTAACCTTGTACCTCTGAAAATCCCAGAATAGGGTCACAAACGCAACATTACAATTCAGACAAACTCTTTTTGCCATGTCTTGGTAATGCTGCTTGTAATATCTACACGTGATGTGACTTTTAAGTCCTGTGTTCCCAAAAGACTAGAGAAACAACTTTCTACTTATTTATGAATGAGAAGCAACATCAGGGTCAGCGTTTCCTCCTGCACTACCCCTCCAGAAGCAGAGTTGGCACTACAGGTTACGATAACAAACCAGGGGAAGGGACAGAAATAAGACCAAAAAAAAAAAAAAATTCCATATTTACAGTAAAATCTTTCTTTTAAAAAAGTTAATCAGTACTATTTTTTTTACAGGAGAAAAAAGTCTGAAACAAATGAACAAAAGCTTACCATAGTCACTAAATTTTTAATATATATTTATATATATATTTATATATATATTTGTCATAGGTCTATAAGATCCATCTGTTCCTCCTACCCTAAGGAATGGCTAATGTCATCACTTCGCTGTCAGGACGTTTGCTGGTTTTGTTAGCAGGGCAGCCGCGCTTCCCCTATCGATATCCAGGAATTATAAACACTAGCTGACTTGATACCAACAAAAACGTTCATGTCGTTTTCTTCAGAAGTACACTTTTTCATTATTGCAAGTTTACAATTTTTTTAAATTAAATATTTTTTTCAGACTTACAAATTAATTATATTTTTTTTTTCCAAAAGAAGTTTAGGCACAAATGCATTGTTCCACAGTGTGGAAGGATTGCCATTCAGTCTCTGGGCTGCGTCTCAGCCTGTACATACTGCTTTGCACATTCTGAATGATATGTTATAGAAAGTCGTCCCTCAAGTTGCACTTTTTCTTTCTTTTTTTTTGTTTTTCTGTTTTTTGATAATTGGGAATGGTGAAACCTCTTGCGTCTGCGATTCATAACTACTCAGACTTGTCTTATGTTACAAAAAAAGGGGTTAAGGAGAAGTGTTTATGTGGGTTTAAGATAATACAGCTGTTAAGGAAGTGGTCTCTTGTTTTAATGAAGCAATGTGGCAACTTGGACCTGAGAAAGGAAAAGAAGAGAGAAAATTCATTAATATGTTTTCTTTAAAACTTTTTCCAAGAAAAAAAACATCTGATTTTGGGCAAAATTAGACTGTTGTAGCTGATGTGCAGGTGGATTAACAAACGAATGATTTCATAAATGGCTGAAAACAAACTTGCCCTTTTACATCTGTCCCATGTGATTCGATGCGTCTCCCATTCCAGGGTGGGGGCCGGCCAAGGAGAGAGGGGGCGGCTCCGAGGACACCTTCTCTTCCTCCCTTCTTTTCAGACAGGCTGCTTTCGGATTTAGATTCCTTTCTGTGCAGGAAGAAAGCACAGGGCATTCAGTCAAGGCTGACTTTTGGGGATGGACAGTGAGGTCGCATGTGCACATCTGACCCTTTCTCTTCGTTTCCACGTCATAGAAGGAAAGGGTCACCTGGTCAGTCAAGAGTAAAAGCTGAACTGGATAGTCAATCTGCATAGCTGCCTCATGTAGGTATAAAAATGGCTGGCGAAGCAACTAAATTAAGTTCTAGTTACTGATAGTGCTTACGGAAATCTCAGAAGAAAATTCTAGAACTTCAGTATGAGAGAAAGAACATTGCCTTATAGACTTAGGCCTGGATACGATTACGCTGAGTGATGCTTCAGTCTACCTGTCTGCTACTGCTCAAAGACCGTTCACGCGGACCACGGGCACTGACCTCGGACTTGCTGCTCCAGGCTGAGGATGACGGCCACGGCCTGGTGCAGGATCAGGAGCTTGGTCTGGGGCTTGTCACTCTTGAGGTGGAGCTGCACCATGCGGCCTAGCTCCTTGAAAGCCTCGTTGATGTCACGCACCCGCAGGCGCTCACGGGCGTTGTTGGCCATCCTCCGCTCCTTCTCGCGCTCTGCCTTCTGCTCTGGGGTCAGGTCCTCATCATCATTATTGCTGTGAGACAAAAGATATGCAACATTTTCTAATGGTGTGGGGAAAAATAAGGCGTCGTAATTATTTTTTCTTCTTACAGAGTATTTAGGGAACTTTTGCGCTTCAAGCCAGGTCCTTGTAGAATTGTATATCCACTTGACCTTGGGACTGGCTTAGACAGCTGTGACAGTCCATATACAGGATCCTGGGTTTCTTTAGACACTGTACCCAAACCAAATCGGGCAGCATGACCTAGGTTAAGGTGAGGGCCCATGGTGTGGCCATACTCATGTCAGGTGGGCGAGAAGTGCAGGGGTGGAAATGGAAAAATGAAGCTTTCATTGATGAAATTACACCCTGCAAAGCAAGCCACCATCAATACAGGCTTAGCCTGCCCTGTGTAACCACACATAAGAACCAGAGTTTCCAAATAATCCTTTTTGTTTTCTTTAACTTGCACAGTATGACATCTGGAACCTATGTAACAAGTGACTGAATAAAGATTTCAGTGAGTCAAAATAAACATAAGTCAGTTTAATAAGAGTAAGAAGAAAGCCCTACATTGAAGATACTAGAGCTACGGAGGTGAGGACAGCACAGCTCTTGTCCAGATGTCTTGTCCAGGTCTGGCCATCCACTTGGCCTATTTGCATCTCATGTACTCCATGTATTAAATCAAAAGTCAGAAGAAACATGATTTCCATGGCTTTTAACATAATGAATGTCTATGAGCCCCCAAACAAGTTGGGGAACTCCAAATTGGTATTGGCTATGTAAACAACATAAAAACCCAACTTCTACTTAAAAATGACCACGACCTCACCATGAGCCAAAAACTAAGCAAAAGTGAATCTCTGATTGTGAATCCTATAATTCCTAACAAAGGCATAGTTGGATACAGTGTAGTCTGGAAAGATGATACCGGTTCAGTCCATTTCTGGGTATCACGGTGACCCATATGAACTTCACATAGATGGGAATTTGGATGATGAGACATCTGGAAAGCCCATCGCCTGCAGGAGGTGTCATGGGAGCAGGCCTTGGGGGAGATGTCTTAAGAAGGCAGAACACAACCAAGAAGTCTGAATGACTATCCACAGTTAAATTCAGTGAGAAACTTTTTTTGTGTGTGAAATACCAAAAACAAAGTAAACATCACTGAAAAGCAATCAACTCTCCATGACAAGAACCTCTGTGGAAGTGATCTTCTACAACAGTGTTAGCCTAGAGAATCAAGCACAGTCTTATCAGCCAGGAGGGTCAACTTCTGATTTAACACTCTACAAATCTGCAATATTCCCAGAATGGAGCTGATAGGTCATATCATCTCAGAGCTGCAGGACAAGTGGGAGAGCTTATCTAGTCAATTTGATGTCTCCATGTACACTGAATGAATGCTGGCTTAGACTGGAAGATTCTGATCATCTTCCACTACGAAGAATTTCTGGGTAACTTCCAGAATGACAAGAGCACCAACCACATGAAGAAGCACCAATCAATGAGAAATCAGAGTATTCTTGGATTGCAAGAAACTGTTGCACATAAAGATGAGGTATCTACGCCAGGAACATTTAGGTGGATAAGGAAAGTGGAGGAAGAGGAGGAGAGATGCTGTAAGACGGCTCCTGTCCCATAGGTTAAATTAACCGCCTTTCCAGATGACAAGTCTGCCCCAGGAGTGTGTGGGTCAACACTCAACTCCCCTGAGCCATCACAGAAGGCCCTCTTTCTCTGTCTTCTGACACTCCCTCTGCTTCACTCCTCCAAGACCTCTGCAGGTGCCAAGGAAACCAAGGTTACTATTAATTCATTCCTATATCCCACTAGGCAAATAGGCTGCAATAAGTGAAAGGGAACAGAATGGAACTTCTGCTGAGCTTGTCCTGAAGCTAAAATTTTGAGCAGTGTGGTTTTTTTTTTTTTTTTAATAAGACATATTACTTATTTGAAAGAGAGAGAGAGAGAGATTGATTGATCTTCCACAGTGCCAGCTCCAGGTTTCCCACATGAGTAGCAGGGGCCCAAGCATTTGGGCCATTTTCCACTGCTTTCCCAAGGTGCATGACCAGGGAGCTAGATCGGAAGTAGAGCAGCCAGGACTTGAAGCTGTGATCACATGGGATGCTGTCCTCACAGGCAGCAGCTTAACCCACTGCTCCACCACTCAAGCTCCTTGGGCAGTATTTTTACAACCTTGAGAACTGCACACCTTGCACAAAGGGGACTTGGAAATAGGAAGACTACTATTTAGAATGTGCCTTTCACTTAGAAATTAATTGATTATGCAAACAAAACTGCCTGGATTTGCAAAGCATTGCTTTACAACACTGTTTTGCAAGTATACAGCAGGAAATGCCACAAAAGTGACCTTCCAACACAAGAAGGTTCTCAACAACCAGTTAAAATGCTGTGAACCTTCAAGGAAGCCATTACTATGCATAAGGTACGGCCACTAGCTAAGTTACCAAGGCTTAACAGAGAGGTGGCACTAACAGAGACCACACTTACAGAGAAGCTGTTCAGGATGTCAAATTCCCTTCTTGGGATTTCTTGCCAAGGTGGCCAAGCATCAGGAGACAGCAAGGATGGTGGGAAGGGGCGTGCTTGAAGTGTTTAGCATTTAGGGGACTGTGGCAAGGCATGCAATCTATGTCCATAATTCCATGGGCAACATGAGAATGCAGCATGTTCTTAATTCATAAAGATACAAATTCATACTGGATACAACCTGAGAAGCAAGGCCTTAAGAGAAAATACGTAGTCTTAGGACCAACTGCTTTAATTTGCAAATAAAAACAACCCAAAGGAATTAAGGCAAAGTACAGGGTGTCATGGTTTCAAAACCCATCTGACTACCAGATTAGAATTAAAGTTCAAGGACACAGATTCTAATTTAAAGATACCAGATACTTAAGAAATCAACCAGAAGCTATTTTCTCGCAGTTGCATTTTCTGTGGAAAGAAGAACCCAGGATGGGGAAAAAAATAATCAGCAATTTAGGCAATACCCTTTTACACCAACATATTTAAGATAAAGCTGGAAATTTCAGTATTTTCTCATTTTAGAGAAGTTAACAGTTGCATATACATTAATCGAATTTTTAACGTGGCTGAGATCTCTTTTTAGAAATGTTTGGAAAGAACATTTCTGACCAAATTGGTAGAATACGTATCATTTGCAAATGAAATGGTTTGTATTTGAATCAGTTACAAATTGTTTTTACGGTGTGTAATCCGTGTTGGGTCCAAATTCATAAATGCAAAGTCATTTCAGCCTTCCCTAGAGCACGGGTATCTGAATCGACACTTCTCGCGCTTCTAGAGTGGGCCTTTCCTTTTGTTTTGAGCTGTAGATTTACCTGCCAGGAAAAAACTGAATAGTTTCTTCCTGTTCTGTTCACTTCATCAAAGTCCAATAAAGGAATTAAATGAAGCGACAGTATTATATACTGTTACCTAGATCTTGACCTAGTAATTGATTTGATATCCTTCTTGTCGTCATCCAGTTTCTTGTCCTCAGCAGACTTGGTGTCTTGCAGGTTCTCATCACCCTCGTCGTCGGACTTGATCTCAGAGCTGCCCGAGGAGACGCTCTGCCCCTGGAGTCCTGGTGGCATGCCTGCAGACCAAGGAATCTGGGTGACACACGTGCACCAAAAGCTCACTGCACGCACACACACACACACACACACAAATGCAGACGCGGGGACGCCAGAGACAATTCAGATTGCTCTACTGTGATCCTCCTGTCACTTGTTCCCTGATACCTGGTGAAGTTTCAAAGATGCACCTGCAGAAACAAGTTTTCCCTGCATTGGCTCTGAGGTTAAATCCTATTTTGCAATCTTTTGGAGTAGATGGTAATTTCACTGTCTACAAAACATCAACTTAATTGCAATGAAAATCATAATCATGAAAATCACACACCTCAATGTTCTGATTAAGAACCCAAGTAAATATCAGCTATTATATTGAGTTTCTTCCATATGCAATGATTTAATAGAAAAATGTCCTTAAAATATAATTCCCAGGGAGTACGCTAAATATGTGCAGTCAAGGCTTCAATAGATCCCCTAATGATATTCTGAAATTAGGCTTCTCTTAAGGAGTAATCAGCATTTAAAAATGGTACATATGGAAGGTAGTTCACTGCTCACTGAAGAAATTTCTGGCTTTATCAATGCTCAACTTTCCAAGATCACACCACATTTTAAAATGTGACTCTAAGAGGGGAAGCATGTCTCTCTATTGACAATCTGTGCAGTCTAGAACCTTGCCACTGAAAATTCAGCGCATGGGCCAGGAGCATCCTTATGACCTGGGAGCCCACTGGAAATCAGAACCCCAGGCACACTGAATCAGAGTCTGCACTTTAACAAGACCCTCGGGTCACACTCACCACATTACAGCTTGAGATGCACAGATCTAGAACAAAAACAAAGGCTCTTGAAAATAGAGGCCCACTAATTATCAAGGTACTTTAAGAAGTTCATGGAAAATGGAAATCAAAGAATAAGATCCTTTTGGTGCAAAAAGAAACAAAACTGAAATCCATGCATATGAGAGGAATTCAGAACTTCATGCAAAATGCCTATTACAAAAATATCGCGCATGGATTTCAATTTTTTTTGCACCAAAAGAAATCCTTTCATTCCATTTCCCATGAATTTTTTGAAGTACTCTTCTATTAGTGTCCAGATAAAAATGGGCAGACACACCCATATATAAAAAGCACACTCAGATTCATTCCATGTTTAACCACTGAATAGATGCTTATCTCTGTCCCTGTGGCAGTGGTACAATTTTTTTTTTTTAAACACAAGAAGGAGTTTTAAGGAGATGTTATTTCAGTAACTCCTCCTCGGCTAGCCAGCCAGCGGCATAAGGAGCCTGGAATCCAGGTTTTGTCCCTTGTAGCACAACTTCCAGGGGTCACAGAGAGTCCCTTATAGTCAGTGGTACAAGGCCATGGTTACAGGGCTACATGACTCAAGAGCACACGCTATCCAACCAATTCCACTTTTTAAATGTACCTACATTTCCTTCCATCTTAAACAACAAAAACAATTTCCTTCCTTCCTATTCATTTGGAAATATCATTTTCAGACCACAACTAACCACATTAGAGGACCCGAATGAGTACAATGTGGAAATAGCTAAAATAAAATTTCCTCTCATCAGCCCGTTGCCCCATTCCCTGCTGAAATAAGACCAGGATTTCAGAGGATGTTTGAAGAAAACAGTTACTGAAGAAATGCAATTAGCAGGCTAAGTTCTGTCCTGACTACTTTCCCATTTACTTACCATTTTTGTACCACATTTGTTTCTTGGTTTCCTGCCAGTGCTTCCTGGAGGCTGACGCCAAGGAAGCTTGGTATCCACATGAGGTCTACTCTTGTGTAAAATGAGGTCAGCTGTGCCCTTCTGGGGCCCACTCACCTCTGTAAGGGTCCTGGGGTGGGTTCAAGTCAGGGGAAGTTGCAGACTGGACAGGAAGCTGTGGAACCGGAACCTGATTTGGCAGAAGGGAATGGCTGCCTCTCAGGGCCACACCATCCTCACGATGGGCACCAACCTGAAAGGGTGACAGGAAGCACAGGGTCAGCGGCTGCCAGGCCAGGGACGGAACCAAGGAGGTGGCCTCTGAAAAACAGTACTCCCAAGCACATTCACTAGAGGGCGCTGAAGGACCGCACATGCACCTAGCGCTCCCTGCAGAAACACTTAACGCTCGGTAAGATGCCGAGCTGTACATCCAGTGACAAATATGGCAGAGGAGCTCAGGCAGGTAAAACGTCAAATTGTCTCCCAGGGTGCTGCAGTGGAGCGCACTGATTCGTACCCATCTGTCTTCCATCATGTCCGCCAACAGATCTGACAATTATCTTAATGCCCATATGCTTAATTGTGGGCTTCTCAATTCCCCCATTGCTATCGGAAATCCTACAGGAATTTCAATTTGGCATTCGACTTTCATTTCAGGGGATAAGATTCTCAGGCCTGCCATTTTTTTTTTCCATAATGCCAGCTAAGCCTCTGACAGCGGAAGCTACAGCAGTATGGGACATAGCCCCTGCTCGGTACAAATATAATAAAATGTCACCTGGCTTTCCAAAACTGGCAGCCCATTCCAAATTAATGTTTACTGTATTTCATCAGCTGCTGAGTTCCAAATCCAAAGGGGGACAGTTTCTGCCAATGCCACCACACCGGAAAATGTACCAATAAAGGTTTTATTAAACACACCAGTAATGCCATCATTGCTGTGTGAGGATGTTTGGACATTTTTCCATTTTTTTTTTCACTATTCTGATCCTAGAAAGACACCATATTGTAAATACTCTTTATGCTTCCAAGAATAAAATTATAGAGTACAGCATGATTACTTGATTTGGAAAAAAAACACTGCTGAGCTTTTTATTAACTACTACTGCCTACTCTGGGGTCCAGAGACATTGTGCTTGTGGCCGTGAGACAGCACTTACTGACTTGATAGCATATGCCTCCAGGCAAAACCATTAAGCATTTGTAAACCATGAGGAATATGACCAGTTCACATTCTCCTTCGTATTTTCATGTAGTCGTTTTGGTAGCCTACTGTTAAGTGAGCATTTACTAAGACAGTGGTCCTAACACCAAAACATATTTATCTGTGCACTTACACTGCTATGAGTCAAATTTAGTTTCTCCAGTTCAAAAATATAAAACCACAAAGCTGAATCTTCACTCTTTTGTTTGCTTCCAAAATGTTTTTAAAGAATATGACCAAAGAATATGACAATAAGCATTTGAACCAACAACAATGAAATTCACAGGCCAGAATTTCATGCTATTTAAAAGCAGCCAACTATTAATGATCACCTTTCTCTATATCAGCACATCCTAAAAGAACACAAAAGAAAATACTTTGGGCGTGGGATCACATAAATCATTCTAATTATTCAAGTTCAAAATACAGTAAGAAGAGTGAAGGACTAAAAGCTTTTGAGTATCAGGAAGAATAAATGGGTGTTTTAGCTGAGAGATCTGGGGAGTTCCGTGCTATCATGGGTTCCTGTGTCAAGACACAGGCTTTTCTGGGTGGGTGTCATTTAGCCTCTCTCCATGGCTGCTTCTCGTGCATTGAGACCCTAAATATTTCCCAAAGCAGCCCGTTCCACTTTTACCACGAACTGAACTCTTTGTTAATTCCACTCACCAGTCTCAGTTTCCACCTGTGATGTTCACGGATTAAGTGCAAGCCCTTTTCTAATAGTATTTGCCTCTGCTGCTGCACCACCCGGGGCTTTCCTCCACACCTGGAGTCTGCGCTCTCAGCAGGCCACGCCCAGCCCGCGCCTTTGATCACTGCTCACTCACTCTTCCGATGCATTTTTGTTTTTCCTTCTGAACAGAAGCAGCAAAGTTGCTTCTGATGTGCCAGTTTTAGACTTGTGCACTCAGAACACGGAATCAACTGGTGATCCTTTTGGTCTAATATGTCAACGCCTACATGTGAATTTTACAGGCCTTGGTCAAGGTAGCTCTTTATGTCTGCCAATCACTATAAGCCTCCATAATGACCTTAGGGCCGATTCACTGTGATTGGCATTCCCAATGGGCCTGTTTTTTTGAATTTCCACAAAGGATGACTCCAAGCCAGAAAGCTGGCGGGGAGGCAGGCTGGAGTGCAGGAGAGAGGTGTATTTCCTCTATTTCAGTGTCTACGCTAGCAACACCCTCAAGCCTTTGTAGGCACTAAGGATAACACTTAAAGCACCTGCAGCTACTGATCCTGAAATGTTTGTCCCTCCAGCTTCCATTTAGCTTAGTTTTCACAAGAGGAAAAAAAAAAAAAAGCTAACAACCAATCACCTTTTTATTTTCTTTGCCCCAACTATTATGAAAGACAATGCGACCAAGAGATAAATAATAATGACAGTCAACTGTGTCTAGATTCTAATTCTTACTGGTTTTTTTGCTGTGTAAGCAACATGAGTTACACAGATGCAAAATGAAGAAAATGACACTATAAGTTATATAGAATAAACCCCAAGCTTATTGGATACATGTGAAGAAAGAAAAACTGGTATAGAATAAGGACACAAGAATTAGCATCATGGGCTTTAATTTTGAAAACTAGCATATTACTAAATAGTAATAGCCCATGTGGTTCAGGAGTGTTCAGAACCTGAGCTACCTTCACCTTAGCATTCTTTGTATTTTGTTCACATCTATTTGATTTCAAATCTTTGTTTTGTATAACAGTAATAATAATAAGTATTAGAAATATACTTGGGACTACTGTTGTTCCAACTATGTTTTTGGGAGGATTACATGTATGTACTTTATCTAACTTGATCCACTTTCAGTAGATCATATTACATCATCTCAAATAACATCAGTTGGTTGCCACAAAGGAAGTCAGAGACAAAGTTGTCCTTTGTGTTTTAAGGCCTCCCTTGTAAACTACGTGTGTTCCAGGTCACACGCAAGACCTCTGACCAGGCCACATCCATGTGGCAATGAGCTTGATTCTTCCGGATGAATTCCATTGCCTAGGGCTATGGAGCAGTATTCCAATTTGAAGAATTAGTTTTGCTTTGCTTGTTTCCTTAGCCACAGACAGCACATTCTAACCCTATTTATTTAGCTTTCAGAAACATTATTTCTGGTCATGTAAGAGATAAGGAAAGAGAAACCGGGGATGGTCAGCCCGAATCTTTTACCAGAATAACTTAGAAACAGGCAGAGCAACTAATACTGCCATCTGTATGCACAAGGGTCAGTAACTTGTCTACCACCATATAAAAAATACATAAAAATGTAGCTGATTCTGTCAACCTACAGACAGATTCTAAGGATGAAGCATGGTGCCCAGTTTCAGAAAAATCCATGCTTCTTTAAAGCCATATTCTGATAACCTTTTTATCTAGATAACAGTAGTCTAAAGTTAAAAGCCAGCTTATGAAAATAACTGATTTTATTAATACTAAATTTTTTTTTTTACAATCTTTAAGGACAGTCTTCTCATAGCCCCATATAATGTAGCTTTAGATATATTTATGTTAAAAGTAAAGATAAAACTTAAGCATTACTTGATAACTATTAACTGACTGACCAAAGAGTGCATTTATCAATTCAACCTATATTTTCTAATCTAACTGTCCCTTTGTGAGGTGTTGGGGGAAAAGTGATGAGTAACTCAGCTTTGGCCCCTGCCCTCATGGCACTTCTAACGCTCCTTTGTGAGAATTCACTGTGGCAAGTTCAATAGTAGGAAACATGGCTACTCAAGCTTGCTCAAATGAAAGACTTAGGATGATTTCTATAACTTATGTTTTAGACCTAGAAAGTTTTGGAAACTGAGGCCACTCCTTGCTTCCTCTGCCCCATTATTTAGCTTTTCTCTCTCCTCTGGTAGGTACCTTTGCTTCTGTCTGGCTTCCACACTCTCATGACTACAACCTCCATGGTACCTCCTGGAACATTCTTTCAAGTCTGCACCTTGGGCTAAGTCCCTCTCTGTCCTAGCATTTCCAAGCTCTGGCCAAGGCCATCTGATGACCCCACTCATCATTTTAAGCAGACATGGGTGATCCTGTGAGAACCCATGGCATCCTTGGGCCATTCTAGGATTGGGTGTTTTCCTGGTCCAGTGAGACAAGATTATGGGGTTCACACATGGTAGGCTTAGCCTGCCACTTCCCCAGACCTTCATGGCTGGGGTACTGGTACAAGCAAGTATTGAAGTTACATTATTTCTCAGGGCAGGTATTTAAATTTCTCTACAAAGGCCACCAATTTTTTAAAAAAGATTTATTTTATTTATTTTGAAATAACTGAGTTAGAGAGACAGAGAGAGGTCTTCTATCCTCTGGTTCACTCCCCAATGGCCTCAACCAGCTTAGTCAGAGCTGAGCCCATGTGGGTGCAGGAGCCCAAGCACTTGGGCCATCTTCCACTGCTTTCCCAGGTGCATTAGCAGCGGGCTGGATAGGAAGTGGAGGAGCCAGGACTTGAACCAGCACCCATATCGGTTGCCGGTGCCCCAGGCTGCGGCTTGAACCCACTGTGCCACAGTGCCAGCCAAGACCAATAATTTTTTAAAAAATTTATTTGAAAGGCAGAGAGAAACAGTGGGCAGGAGGGGAGTCTTCATCCTTGGGCTCAGTCCCCAGATTTCACAAAAGCCAGGATTGGGCTAGGCCAAAGCTAGGAGCCAGGGACTCCCTTCAGGTTTTCCATATAGGTGGGAGGGACCCAAACACCTGGCCCATTATCTGCTGCCTCGCATGGTGTGCATCAGCAGGAAGTCTGATAGGAAATAGAGGCAGCACTCGATCCTGTGCACTCTCAAAGAGATGTGGGCATCCCAAGAGGCAGCTTAACCCACTGCATCAGAAAGTAATACTCCACTACTTCTTTTGAATCATATAAGCACCATATAATTTTCAATATCCTTATTTTGTGAAGAAAAGATTGGTATGCTGGAAGCATGTTTATATCACAGAACTTAGATTTTAAGGATTTGGAGGGATTTGGCAATCAGCTGTAAACTCTTCATTTTCCAAAGAAGAAAGCTAAGGCTGGAAA